AGCTATTTCGCGGCTCACGGAGATTTCGGTGGTTCTCTAAGGCATACAACTTTACCTCGTCAACGATAAAGAATATGGATTTTCTTCAAAAAATCCGCAGCGATAACTTTTCCGATATATATAGAAAAGGTAATAAAAGCAACAGCTTACAATTCGACCGTCATACCAGCCATGTTATATAGGTGTGAGATGTGGAACATCTGAGGAACGAAAACTGGCAGACTCTCAAAGAGCAATGGAGCGGCGAATGATTGGCGCCAACAGGCTACAGCACATTCCAAGTAAAATGCTACGAGCCAGATTTGGCGTAAAAATATATTATTGAAGCAATGTACGCCATAAAAGAGATGGGCTGGTCACGTGGCACAAATGTCAGCCAGTAGATAGACGAAGCAGATAATGGAATCAAGCGAAACTGGGGAGGACCACTAGTGAGGTGGAGAGGCCCTAAGGTACGCCTGTACGGAATTGCGTAGAGTCGGAGGGCGTAACAACGAATCGAATGGAGAAGCTGCCAGCTGCATCGATGGCGTGACGACGGACATCGATGACATGCAGCTGCTCAAGTATTCAAGTATATATACATATATCGAAAAGCCATCTATATGTAAAAATTTGGTAACTGTGCATATAAAAACCTTATTATATATTTGTCCCTTTTATCCCATTTTAGTCGTATTTTTGGAATGCAGCTGCATTCGCAGATGCTGCACTTTTTTATTTTTGCTTTTCAATCCTTTTTTGAACCTCCTTAATAAACCTTATTTCCCTTTTCTCTTTTCACATTTCCCTTTACCCTAATTACCATTTTTACATTTTGGTACGTTTTCAATCTCTCCAAAAAATTACCACATCCTCTGTTGGGGCGGTTCTTACTCCCTTTATAAAACCTCCCTACCATTCTTCGCGGCTCGGGTTTCTTCTTCAGCTTCTTCGTTAACTTCAGTCTCCTCAACCGGCGTCATCTCCGGCACGCCAGCTATGACTCCTGCCGTCGCAATCCTTGAAGACTACTGGGGTTCGACACCTTCGTCTCGAAGCCAGAACTATTCGACCTCGGAACCCTCTTTGCTGAATCCACTGCTGAGCAAGCCATCCCGTTCGTCAGAGTCCAAGCGCCACGCTTTGTGTATTATTGCTATCATCTGCGTCGTAATAAGCAAGGCATAAAACTTATCATTTATCTAATTGTCACCACGCCACAAACGTAAACACTCATCCCATAAAAATTTTTACTTATATAAAAACCCACCACATATTTATTATTATACACATAGTTTTTGTTGTCATATTTCGTTATGCATTGTAATTGTTGCTATTTTAATTTTGCCATTGGCATTAATATGTTTTTTTTTTTTTTTTTTTTTTTT